TTTCGACTAGTGTGTGTTGAAATCTTTCCCTCTGGTGACTAACTGTTGATATCTTTCCATGTGGTGACTAACTGTTATATGATAATTACGTTATAGTACCGGTCATTATAACTATTAACACTATTATCATTTGTTTTGTTTGATTATTTTTTTTTTTCTTTCACCGTGTGATGTTTCCCTCTGGTGACTGTTATAAGATAATTTCATATAGTACGTTATCATAACTGTTAACACTATTATCATTTTTTTTTTTTTAAGATGATTATTGATTTTTTTTTCTTTTCTTTTAAAGACGATGTTTATTTTCTTTCTTTCTTTTAAAGACGATTGTTTTTTTCTTTCTTTCTTTTAAAGACTTGATGTTTGTTTTTTTCTTTATTTCTTTTAAAGACCCGTTTAGTCCACAATCTACTCAACATCAAGGTCTATACTTTAATAGACTTTACTCAATATTAACGCTTTGACTCGATAATTCCAAACATCACCATTCTACCAAAGGCTTTCTCACGTTCACCCAAACAGTTCAACGACCCGGAATGCGGCGTGGTTAACGAAGGAGATGGTGTCTATAGTAACGTGGTGGTCGTTCAGCACCACCCTGTCATACAACGAAGAGGAGACAAGGCCATCAAGCTGATGTGCTTATTTGAGACTACCAATAAGACGGTTACTGACAGCTTCAACTTCATTGTGGAGTAAGTGTTGTGTGGGGGGGTGTTTTTTTTTTGGGGGGGAGGAGGGTGTTTGTGGTTGTGCTTGTTTGTGTTTGTTTGAGTCTGTTATTGTTTGTGTTTGTGGTTGTTTGAGTCTGTGGTTGTGTGTGTGTGTGGTCGTTTGAGTCAGTGGTTGATTGTGTTTGTGGTTGTTTGATCTGTTATTGTTTGTGGTTGTGGTTGAGTCCGTGGTTGTTTGTGGCTTCGTGGGGTTGGGTGTTTTGTTTGTGGATTTTACATGTGTTTGGCTTTGGCGAGTGTGTCTGTGCCGACTTTCCTGCGTATTGATGTGCATATACGTAATGATAACTATATTTTACTAATTTATTTGAGTGTACACGTCTTCATTTCCAAGGCATCTAGGCCTAATGGTTTCAAAATCGCTTCCATCTTATCAGTATAATTCATATATCAATTAATTCAATAGATTATCTACCATAGCATTCTTTGATTCATTCATTCAGTCGACTATCTATCATCCATTGGTTAATATGCATTTAATATGTTAAAACTCGGATAATTTTAACTTTGCCTGAAAGGGTCACCTCGTTACTTTATCCTCATCGTTTAAGGGTCATTCCGACGGCTTATCTGTCTGTCCATCTTCATTCTCATTTCTTCTTTATTCCTCCATTCGTTTCATGACAGCTATCATCAACGCGACGTTCGGTTTCCGTTTCTTAAGTTGCCTCATTTAACCGATTTTTGTATCTATCTGTCCGTTAACTATTTCTCTTATCTATCCATTCCATTCTCCATTTATTAATCTCTTTCTTCAGTAACGATCACCGCGACGGCCGCGTCTAGGTTCTTCAATTCCTTCACTAACTTCCCGATCTTTAATCTGTCTTTCTGCTTATCCATCCCTCTCCTTCCCCCATTCATTAACCTCTCCCTCTCCCCCCCCAGCAACTCGATCAACGCGGGCGTGGCGACGGCGATCGTGCAACGGCGACGGCGCCCTCTGCCGCGCATCCGCCTGCGCCGGGGCCCAGTCGGCGTGGACCGCGCTCCGGGAGGGGAAAACATCAAGGCGGCCCGCCAGGGCTCCGCGGGGAGTGGAGGCTCTTTCGCTAGGGTCTTGCGAGCCTGCGACGAAACGGAGACAGGGGTGGAAGTGGCCTGATAATATGAATGTATGATTTTATTCCACCGCTTATATGTATTGAGGATTTTTCTGTTCGTGTTTTCCATACTTTCCCTTTTTTTTCCGCCCGACCCCTGGTTGGAAGAGATGGAAGATTGACTCCTTCCCCTTTCTTTTCCCGCTTGATTCTTCTTTCTTTTCCTTCTTTTTGTTTTTTACCCCTTTTTGTTTTCCTTTTTCCCCGTTTTTTTTTTAGGGGATTTGGCACCCCGGAGTTAGAGAGGAAAGAAAGGAAACCATGAAAGGGAGGGGAAGAGGGGAAACGATTTAAAAAAAAAAAAATAAACGCAAAGATTTCTTATTGCTTTTCTCTAAATTCTTTTGCTTCGTAAAAAACAGGGCCACGTGGGGGGCGGGGGGGCGAAAGAGCGTGAGGAGGATAGGACGTGTAGGGGCGAGGGAAGAGAGGATGAGAGGAGCGGGGTGTGGAGGGAGAGAGAGGAGAGGAGTAGAGGAGAGGAGGAGAAGGAGAGAAGGAAGAAAGAGAGAGAGAGAGAGAGAGAGACGGAGAAGAGAGAGAGGATGAGGAGCGACGGAGAGAGAGGAGAGAGGTCGAGAGAGAGAGAAGAGAGAGAGAGAGGTGGGGTTGGAGATTAGTTAGTCATGAGATAGATAGATGAAGATAGAGAATTGTGTAGGT